TTGGGAGCCCTCCACTTGTCACTTACTTTTATTATGTTATTATTATTATATATTTAGAATGAAATGCAAGTATGCAACGTGACTTACAGCTAATTGTTTTTTTTTTTTGGGGCCCAACGAACGTAAATATACAAAACAAATTCTTTTTTCATAGCTAAAATCTTTTTTCTGAAATTTTATTAAAAAGACGTGATTTATAGCTAAAATCTTTTTTCATTTTAGTATCCTAAATATACAAAACAAATTCTTTTTTCTGAAATTTTAAACTAGTCTTATCACTTTTACTCTTATTAAATATATGTTACTCATTACCTCTCTATAGTCAATTTTCACAGTTTTACTTATAGTCTCTCATGTACTCTCTTTATAAATAAGGATATAATTAAAAAAATATGTACATATATCCTGGACATTATTACTTTTAAGTAACTTTAACTCACATTTGGATTGTGTGATTTTAGTAATTGTTTTTTTATAACAAAGGAGACTATGTCTGTCAAGAGCATTCATTCATTTTCAGATGAGAATTAGGTATTTTTTTTATATTTATGCACATTGTTATTATATATATTTAATTTTTTTATGTACAATTTCTTTTTATTAGTTCATCATAGGCACTGATTTTTATCTCTGTTTTTTTCGATGACATAGTTCTGTTAATTTTTAAAAGAGATAATTAACAAAATCGTAAATATAAAAAAAGAGACAATTAACGAAACTAAGTTGATAAAAAATTTGATTAAAATTAATTAAAGACAAATGGATAATGAATATATAATTGTTTTTAAATAACCTTATTTATGAGGAGAGAGCGTAAGAGAGAGAAATTATCATCTAAACAATTTATCTTGATGCGCAATGATATTAATATAACTATATAAGTAACTAAATGGGAATAACATGAAAAAAAAAAGAGGAGAATCCTCGCCAATGTATCTCTCATAACTAGTAACAAACCATGTCCAAAAGTTGTCTCTTATAATAAGTGTTATCACAAATAGCCCATTATCCCATAATAAGGATGTTCGTAAGCATGTTTTTCACAAGAAATTTGTATAAAAAATGTTTTTAAAAGAAATTAATAGTTGTATTGGTTGACTTGCTAATCATTCTCATAATATGGATACAAAGTATTACTCTTCTAATCTTATTTATAAATAACTTTAAATATGTTTTACACAAACCAATCTGTCTTAAAATGTAATAATTTTTCAATTGTACTCCTATTTAATATGTACATTTTTCAAATCAATAATCATATATAATGATAAATGAAGAGTAAACTAGTACATTCATGCTAAAAATTTAATCGAGTGACTTATAAATATGACCAAATAAAACATTTTTTCTCTACCTTATAAATAGGAGAAAAAAGAGTATACTCATATATGAGCCTCCTAATTATTGTAGGAATTTGCTGCTATGATCCAATTATGGCCGCATTGCCTCATACTCTTATCTTTCTTAGTTTTTTGGTTAGAGAAAATTATTATGAGGTCACTTTGGAGAGGGTAATATACCCTTATTTTGTGATACCCTAGGAGCATCATGAGGCAGTATACTCCAAGAGCAGCATACTTGCTAGGATACTTTGTAATAAACCCATTGGGATAGCAAACCCCTTTTCTGGAGGAGTCCATTACTTGCGTGTGCTCTGTCGACTTTAGCTAGTCCGCATCGCATGTGAGGAAAGCTTGTAGGAGTCATTAGTCACTTGGTAGTACTCACCAAAAAGAATAAGCAAATTCAACATACAAATTGACATGTATGTTTCCTCTTAGATTGAAAATTAAATTAAAAAGGTGTATATGCTTTAATTTCCATGAGCCGCCCAAACAATCTGATAAAGACATGCAACAGTAATCACCAAACTGGCTAAAATTTCCCATTAAAGACAGAAAACAAGCAAGTTATTCACAATGATGACGCTGCCGCCACCAGATTTCTGGCTTAAGGTGAGGCCAAATGGCATGTCATCCTCAACCTCAACGGTCTTTGCAGCCCCAACAGCTCTAACTACGATCACAAGCCTTCTTCTAGGAACGGTGGAACCTTTCGTGTTCCCAACCATAAAAAGGGAATCCCAAACAACCCTTTTGACTTCACGATGTGAAATGCCATGGAAAGACATTTTTCAGAGAAAAGAACCAAGAAAATCATAAATTCAAATGGGCAACAGTGAACAGAATGAACAATACCTGGGATCGAGATAAAGGATTAAGGAGACGGCTATTCTTGAACTACTGAGGGAGTTGAGTAATTTTCATGGAATGGTCGTTGGAAGAGGAAGAGAAGGTGGTAGAGCTTGAGGATGAGGAAGCTGCTGCAACAGCACCAGACATGGCTGATATTGCGAATGAGAGAGTTCAGAGTTGTGTGGATGAGAATGAAGTGAACCAATTTCGAAATGAACGCTTGAGGGAAGCAAAATTAGAGAAAGGTGGTTCTTTTTGTCTCCCTCATGGTGGAAGATAATATTTGATTGGTGGGAAAGGATGACACCTCAATAAGGTACAACCACCAAGCCATTCCAATTATTTTAATGTGCAAATTACAAAGTAGGACCCTTACCCAATTTTAATTTTTTTATTTGGATGAAAACATGGTGACTAATTTTTTTTTTTTTGGAAAACAAAAAAAGCTGCACGAACAAGTTATTAGTTGAGATAATAAGGGCCTTTACTCTCATAAGGAGGAGAGTACAAGTTAGAATACTAGGAAGCACATTTATTGGGAAAGATGAAAACTTTACGCTCTAAGTCTCTAAAACAAATACCCTTGATTAAATTATGAAAATAAAAATAAAGAGGAACCTCAAGACTAATTACCCAACATCACAGATTACCATCCGTTTGGACTAAGGCGCTAACTCGCTAAAAATTGGTAAGATAATCTTCTTTTTAAAATCAGCACTAAAATATAATTAACAATTAGTAATATATTCATTACTTTTTTTTTGGGCCATGGATAATAGATTCATTACTAAAACAAATATAAAATGTCAAAAGGATTGGTTAAACGCATATTCAAGTAGTTGGAGCAAGTCTCCCTTCATAATAAGCACATTCATGACAAAGATCGATCTTTTATTGCAGCTTTATGTTGGGGAATTTGGAAGGTTAGATGTGACTTTATATTCCAAGGAGTTCAAATTGATCCAATGAAGGTTGTTTCTTCGGCATCCTTGTTAGCAAATGAAGTCTGGTCTGCAAGAGATAATTATACTGTGCAGAAACGAACTAGCAATAGTAGTAATGTTTTAAGAGAGATTTTATGGAAAGCACCGCATGTTGGCTCCTTGAAAATAAACTTTGATGGTGCTTTTAATGCAAAATTCAAAACAGCTGGTATTGGTATTCTATGCAGAATCCATAATGGTATTCAACTTGGTTGTGTTTGTAAAAAGTTGAGAGCAACTTCCCCCTTTCATATAGAATGCCTTGCATTAAGAGATGCTATCCTTTATAGTGACCAGTTTGATTGTGAGAAGATGAATTTAGAGACTGACTGTCTTGAGTTATATAAAACTGTGATTAACTGTTCCTCTGATAGCATTGAATGGCAATGTAAGGATGTGGTGTCTGATATTCTTCAACGGCTAACGGCAAGACCTCATATTCAACTCTCTTTAGTATCTAGAGATGGAATTAATGCTGCGAACCACTTGGCAGCATGTGCAAAAAATGGGATGGCTACCAATGGGATACTTATTAAAGCACCATCTCATTTACTTCGGATTTTGGAGAAGGATGCTGTGAATACTACTGCTGTACTCTCTATTAGTAATGGTTGTGGATCTAGTGCTATCAGCCTCGCTGGAATAGGCTAGTTATTATGGCCTGAATGTGATATGTAAACTCTTGTAGTTTTTCTTTTAATAAAAATTCTTTCTTTTGTGTAAAAAAAACCGCATATTCAAGTATTTTTATTAATTAGTACTTTTATATAGATCTTGAGAATCAATTTATGATTCAACCATATTTAATTATTAATATGATATATTTATAAAATAAAAAAATTATAGTAAATTAAAAGTAAACAGATAATGACTTAGATTTTAAGATGGCAAAAAAAAAAACTTATATTTTAAATTCAGGAAATATATATTGTATACCTTACTATATATATTTTAAATTTTTATTTTTTTTGATAAAAAGACAAATAATGTCAATAAAAAAAAGGAAACATTATACGGGAAATCATAAAATAAATTAGAAAAAGATGCAGGAAAAAGCTAATAACTTCAATGTTTGTTCAAGAAAATAAGATAGGAACATTGGGATAGTGTCTTCGCAAAATATCAATAGAAGGCAAAGCCTTAAATAGAAGCCTTCATACGAACAAAGGGTACTTAACTGGGAGAGATATAAACCACAAAACTTTCTAAAAAGCATTGTTAACTCTAGATGTTGTCTCAGGCACAAAAAAAAAAAAAAAGAACCGTCCTTCATTTTTTCCGGCCTCCTAAATTTTCGCAGAAAAAAAATCTATGCAGCAAGAGTCTATGCGATTATAAATAAATTTAGGCAGGGACCACAGAAAATTTGATTCTTTTAAACATATACGCTAACTTTAAATGTATACTTTACAAATATTAAAATTTGATGCGCGTTTGCACACTAGGCATATAGGGCATGGGATATGAGCAATTTATCCTCCAATTCCAGGTCATTTTACATGAAAAATTTTATTGGCTATTTCTCAAATATCTTAAATTATATTCTTAGCCTTGTGATACTATTTTTAGAAATAAGATAACACATTTGTTTTTAAATTCATTTTAATTCCCAGAATTGTCTCATCAGACTATAACTAATGACATTTCTCAATTTTTTTTCGGCAAACAAAATAATATTGTTCAAGACAGTAAAATATAATTGCAAAATTGTTCTTCAATGTCTTCCTTTTTTAATCATTAGATAAACATTTGAACGTATGTGTGTCTACGTGTGTGTGTGTGTGTGTGTGTATCACTTGCAAGAAACATATATTATTCAATAGAAATTAAGTACATAGGGAGTGCTATAATAACGACATGCACATACAAACTCTCATGGCCAAGGTTTTATTTTACATTTCTCTTGAAGATGCCTGGGCCATAAGTAGAAGAAATCACATCAAGAAGAAGAGGGAATTGTAACAACACAAACAGGGTTATTGGGACACTAGCAATGATAATAACAGGAAGATAAGACCATGAATATGTATGCTTCAGCATGAGAATAATGCATAAACAAAACGCTGCCATCATGGTTAAAATGGACAAAAAGAGTGTAGAAAGGCCTATGATCAGCTTCTGTGGTAAGGATATGAGAAAGTCTCCTTCAGCATAGCGTGAGGTAAAAACCCCTAAAAATGTCAGCACAGAAGTTGTTGAAGAAAACAATGACAGCGCATCTGAGATGACAAGGAGTATATATAACTTGTCTTTCAAAAACATTGGGTAGCCAGTGTTTTGATCATTCCCTCCAGGAACGGTAAAAGCAGCCGCAAACATGATGGTAACAATCAAAGCACCAACAACAGAACAAGAAGTTGCTGTATCTTTCATCCATTTTTCTCCTGCATCCCTTAAATTTGTGTGAGTTTCCTTGAATATGTCTTCTGGTCGTTTACCCTTACTATTTTGAGATACCCTCAGTCCAGGAGGTACCACCCTTTCAACTTCCTACATACATTTATTTCATAAAAATAAAATATCATTATATAAGAATGTGTTAAGGTGTAAATTTGCTCAGTAAATTTTCACTCAGGAGTGCTCGGCAACCATAAGTCTTTTTTACGCAAATTTATTCCGAACATAACAATATTACCCCCTACAAGGTTAAAAATGTTAACAATTAATGTTAATTTTTTAATAGCAAGAGGCAATATTGCTATGACTTTAAATTTTATGTTTGCTTTCGAAAAAACTTTTAAGTGCCCAGCAATCTTAAGTAAAAGCTTTAGAACAAATTTGTACTTTAACCTTATATATATATATATATATATATATCTACATAGATATTCTAACCTTGTACCATTGCATTTCTCTTTGCATCTGCAAAGCTGCACCGGAAACGCGGTTAAGTTGGTTAGAAGGAACCAGCTTGGCTGCAACATGGAGCATGCAATGTCCAGAGGTATCTACCACGGATGCTATCAAATTCTTGAAGCGATACTTGTGGATTAGGCTAAAAACCTCAGCTTGACGATATTCAATAGCATAGAAGAAAGTGTTCCGATTCCCTAAGCTTGAGGTGAATTGGATTAATTGTGGGTTGGTTTCTGATACTTCAGACAAAAAATCAACAAGCCCTTCTTTGGCCGCGAGGTATAGTGTATTTATAACCATCCCATGTTGTTGCTTATCGAAAAGAGGTGCCCTCCGACAAACTATGTTTAGGATTTGAGATGCTCGAGCATGAAGCAACTTCAGCTCATATATTTCCTTCACTCCTATATATACACACACACACACACACGCACATATTCACAACTTATGTGTAACTATCTCGAGGTTGTGCTTAAAATATTTGAAAACGTACAATGTATGAAATATCTAAAGGATTATATGATATACCTAACAAAGTATAGACGTTAGAGATGAATCGGTGCAGTATACCATGCCCTGTTGCAAGCAAAGTATTAAAAATTCATATTTCACTTCATTTTCAAATCATTTGAGAGAATTTAGAAGTTTGGGTTTTCTTACCCCCACGTGCTTTCTCTAAGCATATATACATACCTTGAATGCTTTTATTTTCGCCTTCTTGGTGAATGTCTAAACAAACATTATCTGTTATTGTAGTTGATGGTATAGGTATGGCTTCCACCAAAAGGAGAGACAAGAGAAACAAAAGAAAAATGAGCGTCATTTAAGGTAAAACAAAAAAATGGATAGAAAAACACTTCCTTACTATATGACTTAGTTTAACAGTCTTTCACGTTTAAATCAGGGAGGATGTTATAAGAGATTATTAGAGACATGCAGATTTAAACTGGAGAAAAGTTAAAATGCACGTACCTTTTTTTCATTAAATTTTGTAATAATACGTATGTAGATTCTGTAAAGAAAGATGTTTGAAAGGTAGTGAGAGACTCACAATGATAAATCCATTTTTTCCAAAATCCAAGCTGACTAGCACTCTCAACTGCAGCCGGCATGATTGCTATACTCGCAACTGGTGTCCAATTGGTATGGTCTGCAGCAAAAATGATGTCTTCGCATTGTTCCAGTAGATGCAGGGCAATATCTGTAATTATTATATATAGTCATGGCAAGCTGTGAAATGAAGATAAGAAAAAACAAGCCAACAAAATTAGATAGAGAAATAATATCTGTTCCCATCAAGGGCTGGGTAGGTAGGTTTAATTACCAAGTTCACCAGCTTCGAAACATGCACGAAGAAGACGAGAACCTAGATAGCCATTTTGGGGTTTGAGGACTTCCAATGGGGTTTCCTTATAGAGAAAACGTCCCATTTCTTTCTAACCAGCACCAATGGCCAATGCAACAGGAAGATGATATCTCAAGTCTGGAATGCCAAGTATGTTTCTATTCTTATTAAGCATGCATTTTGCAATTTGAATGACCCCAGTAGATGCAGCAATTGCAAGTGGAGTAGAGCCATAATCATCAACTATTTCAAGGAATTCTGGGCTAGTTAATCTCACTAACTCCTCTACTATTTCTAAATGTCCAAAAAGTGCAGCCACATGGAGAGGTGTTCCATTTGTAGCTGTAAGTTTTGCAGTCAAGGCACCTGGATGTCGCTCAAGGAATTCTTTTGCTGCCTCCCAGTTGTTAGCACATATAGCATTGTACAAAATGCTCACATCAAAAGAAGTCGCTGCTACATTCACTGTAACCAACAATTGATGTATGTATATGTATATTAGCAGGAGTGGTAATTAACTTTTCCATATGAGTATCTCCTAATTGAATTGTTTTCTAATCACACTAGCTTGGCCTGGGCTAAAGCCTGTTAAAAAAATTTGTATTTTAAAAAAAAAAAGTTTAAATTTCAAACAGGCCAAAAAATATTAACTAGAACTGAATCATAAAGCATATATTGAGGTTACCAGATGGCTTGTGGGCGAATCTGTCATGGAGAATGTGCCATGCAACCTTGGCTTCAGAGACTCCTTCTATCAGGCGGCGAGTCTCCGGCGAGCATGTGATGCGTAAGATGCGCAATGCTTCTTCATTCTTTTGTCTCCAGGAAGGATCATCTTGATGAGGAGCTGTATCATCAATGATCACTCCCCAAAGATGGTGAACTATCAGATAGTTTTTAACCAAATTAAACCACACTCTAGAGTTGTCCTTCGTAAGTGGAGCTATAACTCTGCCGTTATAAACACACGTCTCAGCCATAACTCACTCACTCAATCTGCAATTGGAGAACGTTTCATAATTAGAACATATTTACATGCAATATAATTCTTCAAATTAGACCTACGTGCGTACGTACCTTGTGAAGCAAAACCTACAACCTCAGAATATGTACCGACCCAAACTCTTATAGCATTAACGGTATTAGAACAAACAAGGAGGTCAAGTTAATGCACTTGTATCCAAAACTGAGAATCGTACGAACATTGTATAGTATTTTATTGAGCAAAAGGAATGTGTGGTTGCTCGTGTAATTTGCTATGAATCATTGACTTTATACCTGCACCCACATTCACGTTATCTTTATATTCTCATCCTTTTTCTGATTTTAATTTATAAATCCTTCCAAAACTTTCTTTCTTTTTTTTTTTAGTTGGCCAATCATCCTAGCTAAATTCTGGTTTGTGTATCGAGCTGTCTTAGTCAGAAGTTACTTTTGCATAGAATTATCTAATCAGCATTCCGTTGCATTTTAATGATTAAGATTAAAGCAGAAATAGTACAAGTTAACAATCTTTGATTAAAAAAAGCAACATATATATATATATATATATATATATTCTTTTCTTACGTTATAAACAATCAATCACTTTCGTCTTCGTCATGCTCTAAAAATTTAGGGTGACCGGCATAAAATATGAGAAAACTCACATTCCTTAAGGTTTAAAACTTATTAATAAACACTTGACATAACAATTATAATACCATTGATTATATCATAATTAATATAAAACTCTTGAGCATGGATATAAAAATTCTAAATCATACGTGAACAAATTCCTTGTCATAAAAATATAAGGCGGTTCGTTCACCAAAATATATATATATATATATATATATATATATATATAAGGCGGTTCGGCTAAGACATTAATGATCACTTATTCAAAATAATAAAAGAGCACGGGGAACCCCCTTATATATCGATTACATGGGGTATCTAAGTAACGAAAGTAGACGCATATATAAGTGTATACTTGGATTTATATTAGTTAGCAGTTGTTCCAAAATATACATACGAACTCTGATTAGTAATGAGGGCCTTCACTCTTTAGTTGGAGGCGCAGGGTCAATAGTGCTATCTGAGATCAAAATAATTTATCAGTGAATAACATTCTATTAATTAAAATAAGATAAAACAAATGCTGAACAAATAAATTATGCAAATATGATTTTGTAAAATAAATGATTTATTGTTGCTCTTAATTTTTGAGTGAACCACTAAAACATATTTTAATATACAAAATTAACTGAGAATTTAAACAACTTCTTTATAAAATCAATTTACAAAGTAGTGCAAAAAGCGTTTTTTTCTTAGTTAAGGATTTCATCAGAAAGGACAACAAGCATAAATATACAGTCTACGGGGCCAAGCAAACAAGCCCAACTGAAGCCATGAACACAAACCTTATATTGTTGTGTTTCTGTATTTGGGAAGATTATTACATGTGTTTATGATAATTTGAAGCATCATTATGAAGGTGTCATTAATTGATATATTTATTATCACCAATCATTAGAAATATTAGTAACAGGTACTCTAAGTTAAAATTTCCCCCTTTTTGTGAAATCAAATTTTTTTACACTCATCAAATATATATATTACTATTAATTAATTTAAATATCATATGAAGCAAAGATGACGAGTAGTAGTGATCATATACACGAAAATTCAAAACTTGATATCACACTCACTCTCCCTCCACTTGATTCAGCAGGATTGAGATAAAAATTGAAACAGGATCGAAGCTTGCATTTGATATATGATGAATTAACATTACTCTAATGACTCAATCAATCTACAGCGAATTTAATCATAAGCTGCTTTCAGGGAAGAATGTTCTCAGCGGGGCCGCCATGATCATACATATTAGAGGCGCAACTATGGCTGAAAAATCTGCCTAGATTACCATGAAAAAATATTTTCATATTTCAAAAGTTGTTAAATTAAATCAGTTAACAAAAAGAAATGAATTCATTTGATGTACTGAAGCTTAGAATATTAGAATAAATTAAAAATTTAACATTAGGTCACACTGCAATGATAAAACCAAAAAAAAAATTTAGAAAGATATAACAATATCAGTTAGAGAATAAAATCATTTTATAATAGTAGACATTGCTGTAGGATGAGAATAAAGTTATCACCGTTGTATTGTATATGTCCTTGTATCAGTACGTGGCTCTTGTATATTGGTTACCCTGTACCGCTTCCCTTATATAAACGTGAACAGTGGGAGCCAGCTATCTATCAAAGCTTTTGGCTCATTTCTCATTTTCTGATTTTCGTCTACTTTCCCTCTTGGTACCAGAGCCAGGGGTTTTCTTTTTCACCAAACATGTCGGACTCTGTTTCCACCGGAACCAATGATACACCTACCACCATTACTGTCAATACTGTTTCCAAAACTAATCCCCTCTTTCATAATCAAGCTACCTCAGTCAAGTTGGACCGAGAGAACTATTTATTTTGGGAGTCAATTATTCTACCTTTTATTGAAGGGAACAAACTTGAAACTCATGTCAATGGAGTCGGCCCTGTTCCACAGAAGTTCATCCCAGAAGGTGCTGAGGTGAAACTCAATCCTGCTTATGAAGAATGGTCTGCTGTTGACCGACTACTTGTTGGATGGCTTAGAAATACAATGAGCATGGAGATAGGAGCACAACTTTTTCATTGTCGTACTGCTCAGGAGCTTTGGGATGGAGCTAAAGCTCTTGCGACAGCATCAACCAAAGCCAAAGTCATGGCGCTCAAGTCGGAGCTCCAGCGAACACGCAAAAATGGGTTGCGTATGGACGAATTTCTGACTAAACTAAAGAACCTCACAGATCAGCTTGCTTTGGCCGGCTCCCCTGTCTCCACCGAAGATCTCATTGCTCAAGCTCTAAATGGTCTTGATGCAGACTATAATGCCATAGTCGTTAAACTTATTGATCAACCCAAACTCACATGGATTGATGCTCAAGCTTCGTTGTTAGCTTTTGAAAGCAGAATCGAACAGCTCAATCAGTTTTCATCTCTGACTATTCAACCTACTGTTAATGTTGCACAGCGAGATTATCACCGTCCTGAAGCTAGTCGAGGTTCATGGCGTGGTGGACGAGGGACCCGAAACAACAATCGCGGTCGTGGCCGCTCATTCCGGAGCGTAAGTGGTGGTCGTCCCTACTGTCACCTGTGTCGTCGCTTTGGTCATCTAGTCGCAAACTGTTACCATCGCTATGATCGTTCCTTTCAGCCACCAACTGACTTCGGAAATGCATCATCAGGGGCCTTTTCTCCTCAGGCTTATTTTGCTTCACCAAGTACCGTCTCTGATTCAGCTTGGTATATGGATAGCGGTGCTAACTACCATGTTTCTCCATCTTCTGATCATTTAGATAAGACTCTTCCAGCTGGTAAGTGTCATCTTCTTACTTGCACTGGTGAGAAAACTCAAATCCAAGCTGTTGGTTCAACTACTATTCCTTGTTCTCCTTCTTCACTCAAGCTGAATGATATTTTGATAGTTCCCACTGCAACTAAGAAATTAATGAGTGTTTATAAGTTGATTGAAGATAACATGGTTGATGTTTTGTTTACTGATCATGGCTGCATTGTGAAGGACAAAGTGACAGGACAAGTGTTGCTTCAAGGGAAACCACGATAAGGAATGTATCCAATGAGGCATGATAATCACGGTCAAGCTCAAGCTCATTTTGCTGCTACACTATCTTTTGCTCCAGAAGCATGTTTTTCTGATTTAGTTGAATGGCATCGTAAATTAGGACATCCTTGTGACAGAGTTTTGAGACAAATATTAAGTGATTGTAATGTGAAAATCAAGTCTAGAGACAAACTTTTTTGTGAAGCCTGTCAGTATGGAAAATCTAAATATTTACCTTTTCCTAATTCTAGCTCTCATGCTTCTGCTCCTCTTGATTTAATTCATACTGATCTCTGGGGACCCTCACCTGTTCAATCTGTTCAAGGGCACCGTTTTTATATTCACTTTGTTGATGATTTTAGCCGTTACACGTGGTTGTATCCACTAAAGAGCAAAGGAGAAGCAATACATGCTTTCAATCAGTTCAAAGTTTTAGTTGAGAATCAATTTGGAACTAAAATTAAGAGCCTGCAATGTGACATGGGAACAAAGTACAAGCCCTTCGTTAATGTTGCTCAAACTCATGGAATTAATCTTAGATACACTTGTCCATATACTTCTCAACAAAATGGCCGTGCTGAACGCAAACATCGGCACATTGTGGAAACTGGTTTAACTCTTTTGGCTCAAGCTCACATGCCTTTAACATACTGGGTTGATGCTTTTCAAGCTGCTGTATTTTTAATTAACAGACTCCCCACACCAGTTCTCAACAATAGCACTCCTCTGTTTAAACTCTTCAAAACAGAGCCAGAATATAAATCCTTGCAACCATTTGGGTGTGCGTGTTATCCCTGTCTTAAGCCTTATAATAATCACAAGTTTCAGTTTCATAGTCAAAAATGTGTGTTTCTTGGCTATGCTTCTCAACAAAAGGGGTATAAGTGCTTGAGCTCTACTGGACGGATTTACATTTCAAGGCATGTAGTTTTTGATCCTTCAGTTTTTCCCTTTGCAACAGGTTTTTTAAATCGCAAGTCTAGTGGGATTCAAAGTGAACATGTGGTCCCCATAGTCATTCACTCCGTGCCTCATTCTACAGCAGCTTTATCCTCTGAGCAATCTGATATGCTGCCTCCCTCACCAAGACAGAGCTCACACACCACTATCTCACCAAGACAGAGCTCACCAGCCACTTTCATACCTCAACATTTATTGAGGAGTGATGATACCACTGCACAACCAGCTGTCTCTTCTTCTGTATCGGGAAGCAACTCTTTATCATCTTCCTCTTCTTCAAGTGGTCCCACTAACATCACAGATCAACCTAATACTAATGTGCATCCTATGACCACTAGAGCCAAGAGTGGTATTTTCAAGCCCAAATACCCGTTTGTTGGGCTTTTATCTTTTGAAGATCCAAAGTCCTTAACTCAAGTAGCTGAGCCCAATAGCATTCCTGAAGCCTTAGCTTCACCTCAGTGGAGACAAGCTATGGTGAGTGAATTCGAAGCTCTCCAACGAAACCAAACATGGTATCTTGTACCCTATGATGGGTCTTCAAAGATCATTGATTGCCGATGGGTGTTTAAGACAAAATTCAATGCTGATAGCTCTTTGTTGAAGCACAAAGCCAGGTTGGTGGCCAAGGGTTTTCAACAAACTCCTGGTGTTGATTTCAGTGAAACTTTCAGCCCGGTAGTTAAAACAGCCACCATTAGAGTTGTTCTTACAATTGCTGTCACTTTTAATTGGGAAGTAAGGCAATTGGACATCAATAATGCTTTTCTTAATGGATTCCTTCAAGAAGATGTGTATATGCGTCAACCAGAGGGTTTTGTTGATCCCAAGAGACCAGATCATGTATGTAAGCTTGTCAAAGCGATTTATGGATTGAAACAGGCTCCGCGGGCTTGGTATGAGAGATTAAGAACGACTTTGTTGCAGTGGGGTTTCAAGAATGCTCGAAGTGATATGTCCCTATTCATGCTTCGCACTAACAGACTCACAGTATTTATTTTGATTTATGTTGATGATATTTTGATTACTGGGAATAATTCATTCTATTTAAGGTCCTTTGTGCATAGGCTAAATTCTCTCTTTTCTTTGAAAGACTTGGGTCCCTTGCATTATTTCTTGTGTATTGAGGTGGTGCGAGATAGTTCTGGCATTTTTCTTAATCAGGCTAAATATGTTCTTGATCTTCTTAAGCGTTTTAATATGCTTGATGCTGCACCGGTAACTACACCAATGGTCACAGGAAGACAATTTTCTATTTATGATGGTGAACCACTCACTGATGCTACAAAATATCGGCAAGCAATTGGAGCACTTCAATGGCTTACAACAACTCGTCCGGACATTGCATTTTCAGTTAATAAACTTAGCCAGTTTTTATCAAAACCCACGGATGTTCATTTTCAGGGGGTGAAACGGATACTTAGATATCTCAAGGGAACTTATCACTATGGACTTCATATTTAAACCATTTGTGAACCTACATTTGACAGCTTTTACAGATGCAGATTGGGGTACAAATGTGGATGATCGCAAGTCTATGGCAGGTTTTTGCATATATCTGGGCAATACTTTGGTAAATTGGGCTTCGAGAAAACAGAGAGTTGTGTCAAGATCAAGCACTGAATCTGAGTACCGTGCTTTGGCTGATTCTGCAGCAGAGGTCAACTGGCTATGCTCTTTATTATTTGAACTGGGTCTCTTCTTAAAGCATCCTCCGATTATTTGGTGTGATAATCTCAGTGCAAATGCCTTAGCAGCAAACCCAGTCCAACATGCGAGAACAAAGCATATAGAAATCGATATTCACTTCGTTCGCGATCAAGTATTGGCGAAAGCACTTGATGTTCGACATATTCCTTCACCATGCCAAGTAGCTGACTGTTTGACCAAAGCTTTAACTTTCCCTCAGTTCTCTGCTTTTCGCCGCCAACTTGGTTTGTGTATCCCCCCGTCTCGTTTGAGGGAGAGAGTTAGAGAATAAAATCATTTTATAATAGTAGACATTGCTGTAGGATGAGAATAAAGTTATCACCGTTGTATTGTATATGTCCTTGTATCAGTACGTGGCTCTTGTATATTGGTTACCCTGTACCGCTTCCCTTATATAAACGTGAACAGTGGGAGCCAGCTATCTATCAAAGCTTTTGGCTCATTTCTCATTTTCTGATTTTCGTCTACTTTCCCTCTATATCCAATCATGACTATACGTAAATGATAATTATAACAACCAAAATTCCCCAAACTTACAAATCCAACAACAACTTTGAATTACAATGGTCTTATAACTTGCTATTTGATTTTTTAAACACAACGAAGGATTATAATGGTATAATAAATCGGCTTTGAACAATAGGTCCACACAAAGGAGGATAGTCTCTGATGGCTGAAACTCTTCTTCTAGTGAAAGTCTTCTTTTGACATGCTAATTGAATATTTCCATCATCAAATGTTTGAAGCTTAGCCTTGCCACTTGTCTCTTCAAACATTAGACCCAAATATCATATTCTTTAGGCGTAAAAATAGTCCCTTATTTCTGTAAAAATACAGCAAATTGGTCCTTAAAGAGACCATAGAGGGACTAAGTTATTACCTTACTTTTACAAAAGCAAAAGACCATTTTGATTCAAATGAAAAGTTGAGGGACCAAAGTGATTCATTTCACGAGAATGAGGGATCAAAATAATATTGAACCCATTAAATGTTACCGGCCGATGTATTAAAATTTCAAGGAAAATTAAAAACAAATCTTAGTAAGAAAAAGACAAACCGAAACAAAAAAATCATTTTCATTATTAGGCTAATCATATTTTTTATTAAATACTTAATGATACAATCATTAATACATATATGCTTGATGAGAATTCATCCTAGAAGTCATGCATGGCCTGTGGACATAATTTTAATGACTTGTTATTTAATTTTAATTAATTTTCCATAAATTTTAATTAACTTCTTTGCTGACATTTTATACATATATAACGTGCAAGAAACATATATTACGCAATAGAAATTAAATATACAGGTAGTGAGAAAATAACGGCATGCATATACATATATTTCATGGCCAAGGGTTTATTTTACATTTCTCTTGAGAATGCCTTGGCCATAAGTAGAAGAAATCACATCGACAAGAAGAGGGAATTGTAACAGTACAAAGAGGATTACTGGGACACTAGCAATGACAATGACAGGAAAATAAGACCATGAGTATGTACTCTTCAGCATGAGAATAATGCATAAGCAAAATGCTGCCATCATGGTTAAAATGGACAAGAAGAGTGTAGAAAGTCCTATGATCAACTTTTTTGGTAAGGATACGAGGAAGTCTCCTTCAGCATAGCGTGAGGTAAAAACCCCTAAAAATGTCAGCACAGAAGTTGTTGAAGAAAACAATGACAGTGCATCTGAGATGATAAAGAGTATAAATAACTTGTCTTTCAAAAACATTGGGTAGCCAGTGTTTTGATCATTCCCTCCTGGAACAGTAAAAGCTGCTGCAAACATGATGGTAACAATCAAAGCACCAACAACAGAACAAGATGATGCTGTATCCTTCATCCATTTTTCTCCTGCATCCCTTAAATCTTTATGAGTTTCTTTGAATATGTCTTCGGGTCGTTTACCCTTACTATTTTGAGACACCCTTAGTCCAGGAGGTACCACCCTTTCAACTTCCTGCACGCATTTATTTCATAAAAATACATAAAATAATTATATATGTATGCATGAAAATTTACCCGAAAGTTTTTACTAACAAACGCTAGGCACTTGAAAGTTTTTTTGGGGTGTAAATTTGCGTTAAAAGCTTAAAATCATAGTAATGTTACTCTCTACGGTTAAAAATGTTAACAGTTAACGTCACCACCCAATAAAACTTTTAAGTTGTCTGGCACTTGTGAGTGAAAACTTTCAAGATATATTTGTACTTTAACCTTATATATATATAGTTATATATATAAATATATTTCCCTAACCTTGAACCATTGCATTTCTCTTTGCATCTGTAGAGCCACACCAGAGACGCGATTAAGTTGATTAGAAGGAACTAGCTTGGCTGCAACATGCAGCATGCAATTTCCAGAGGTATCTACCACTGATGCTATCAAATTCTTGAAGCGATACTCGTGGATTAGGCTAAAAACCTCAGCTTGTCGATGTTGAATAGCACTGAAGAAAGTGTTCCGATTTCCTGAGCTTGAAGTGAACTGAATTAATTGTGGGTTTGTTTTTGATACTTCAGACAAAAAATCAACAAGCCCTTCTTTGGCCGCAAGGTCCAGTGTATTTATGACCATGTCATGTTGCTGCTTATCCAAAAGAGTTGCCCTCCGACAAAGTAGTTTAAGAATTTGAGATGCTCGTGCATGTAATAAATTCAGCTCATATATTTCCTTCACTCCTATACATATATATATTCACAACTTACGTGTAACTATTTCTAGGTATAAGGTATGAAATTTCTAAAGGAAATTAAGTTAGCATATGATATGATATACCTAACAAACTATAGACGCTTGAGATGAAACAGTGCGGTAGACCATGCCCTGTTGCAAGCAAAGTGTTAAAAATTCATATGAATAGGAATTTGGATATAAGCCAAAGGTCCCACTTAAGTGTGAACATTTAGAACTCAGCCAATAGTAGTTGACATTCAGAGATATCTTAATTAATCTCTCTAAGTATAAATACCTTGAATGCTTTTAACGTAGCCTTCTTGTTGAATGTCCACATAAACATTATGGGTTGTTGTGGTTGATGGCATGGGTGTAGCTTCCACCAAAAAGAGAGACAAGAGAAATGAAGAAAAATGAGCGTCATTTAGGGTAAAATAGCTAGGAAGTAGTTAGAAGACAAAAGAAAGTTAAGAAAAATGATTCCATTCATTGTTTCACCTGTTTAATTCTACTTAATCACTAGACATTTAATCCTGCACAGGCAAACATGGTCTTGGCCCCCTCATTTCAACTTATTTTATTTTGATGTTGGGCCTGCCATTGCACTTCTTTCACAGGCCTTGTGATTATTCAATAGATTGAGAGAAGCTTCCTTATTGACTTATAGTTTAATAGTCTTCCACATTTAGATAGGAGAGGATGTTATAAGTGATTATTAGAGATGTGCAGAATTAAACTGGGAGAAAACTTAAAATAGACTTCTTTTTTTGTCATTAAATTTTGTAATAATAAGTATATAGATTCTGTAAAGTAGTGATGAGACTCACAGTGATAAATCCATTTTTTGCAGAATCGAAGTTGACTTACTACGCTCTCAACTGCAGAAGGCATGATTGCTATACTCGCAACTGGTGTCCAATTGGTGTGGTCTGCAGCAAAAATGATGTCTTCACATTGTTCAAGTAGATGCAGAGCAATATCTGTTTATTGTAGTCATAGCAAGATGTCAAACAAATAAACAAAATTAGATAGACAATAAAATGAATACAAGTATTGACTTAATTATTCGTGCTAGCTAGAAAGAAGCTACCGATATTTTGCTTGGTTGATAAAGTTGTGAACCCCACTAACAAAGGAAGGCATCAATATGTTTTTATATACTACTTTTTGTCCTAAATATAAGAGCTAGTTTGTAGGGTTTTTTACCTTACAAACTAGCTTTTATACTTAGGACCGGATATAGTATGCTTGCTTTACAATTAGCTCTTATATTTAGGAACGAAGGTAGTATGTAAGTTTGGTTACCAAGTTCACCAGCTTCGAAACATGCACGAAGAAGTCAAGAACCTAGATAGCCATTTTCGGGTTTGAGGACTTCCAATGGGGTTTCCTTGTAGAGAAAACTTCCCATTTCTTTCTGGCCAGCATCAATAGCCAATGCAACAGGAAGATGAAATCTCAAGTCTGGAATGCCAAGTAAGTTTATATTTTTATCAAGCATGCATTTTGCAATTTGAGTGTCTCCAGTGGATGCAGCAATTGTGTAACATCTTAAATTCTACTCCAAGGATTTAAATATTTAAAAATTGAAAAAAAAGGGGTTCAAACTGTTATTTTTTCCGTTTTACCTAGGGTCTTTAACTTCAGTTTACCCCGAGTGTTTTCTTTTTACCTTCTTCCCGTCTTCTCCTTCTTCTCCTTCTCTCTCTCCGCGTTGCTTCGTCCGCTCGCTCGCAGCGTCGCTCTCTCTCCCTTCTCTCTTCATTATTACAGATCATTTTGGTAAGTAAAACTACTTCTAATTACAAAACTCTCTTCATGAAAGTTGTTCTACTCAATTAGATCTATCTAATGATAGTAATTTTGTGTTGCTTAGAGAAAATTTTTGGTATAGAGTTTAGAGCAAGTATTTAGTTTTGATGAGTGTTAATCACAGTATTATAGATCTGTTATAGTAGATCATTTCTACCGGTTTAGATTTGTCTATTTATTGATTTTGGTATTTAAAAATTAATTTTTAATTAAAAAATATGTTATTTATGATATATATATCATATTTATACCGATTAAAATTAAGTTAAATAATTTATTTGGGTTGTTTGATATATTCTTAAAATTTTAATCGGTTTAGTTTTATTTATTGAGTGACTAGAGGTTTTAAAATAATTATTGTAATTAAAGTTTCTTATTTATTGAAAAAAAAACATATATATGCCATTAAAATCTTGGTTTGATTATTTATATATATAAATATTTGAGACACTATTGAATTTTTGATGGTCTGGTTTTGAGGCTTAAATTTTAAATGTGATTTTTGGAATTTAGAATATACTAATTTCATATTTAGAAATTTTAGAAAATTCTTTTTATTAAAGTAAATAAGTTGAGGGATGTAAATAAATAATTTGGCTTGTTAGAAAATTACCAATTAGTTCTAAAGTACTTAATTTTGGATTATAAGAGTTGTGAGAATTTAGAATGATAATTAAATTAAATTAGGAATTTAACTAATATATATAAGCTTAATTAATTAGCTTATATTAATTTGTGGCTATATTAATGGTGTAGATTGATTATTGGATTGTTGGTTTGAGCACGGGGTTGACTTTGTAGTAATTCTTTTTATAGCCTTGGTGAAAGGTAACCACTTTCCACTTGTTATGTATGCTTGTATGATGTTTGTGAGTGATTTCAAATTATATGAGATTCTTGAAATGCCATTGAATTATTATTTGAGCAATGAAAGGCATCGTTGTTGAAATTACCTTGAGATACTTTATGTTATTGAAAAATAGTATGAAATTATGACTTTATAAATTTGTCATGTGGAACAAGAATTTATTGAGAAATGGTTTGAGGACTGGTGTTGATTATTGAAATTTCGAAATCTCGATTTTGAAAAATGTGAAAGTTATTATGTTATTGGTAAATGACTATTCTCATGAGTATAAATACGAGAGGGGACGGTGAACGTTGATCTGTGGGAGACATGTTATAGGGAGAATAAGGGGGTGAATTTTTGTACATATTATAGAGGTAATAAGGTGGGAGGACGCCAGATGTACACTGGTTGATCCTTTGGCCCTATCATGTGTTGTAGGGCGTATGACACCCCGCTAGTGGACTAGAGGGGGAACCCATGGTCCGATCTTGTGCTCTGTGGATTTTGGCCTATTCACATCATTTGATCGGTGAGCTTATTATGTTGAACTACCAGTCACATGGGACAGTACTAGCCCATGGGTTCAGTCAGAGGAAATAAGGTGTGAGGAAATAAGGTGGAATTGAGAGTGAGATATTGCATTTTGATATGTATATGTATATGTATATATATATAACCATGTGACAATTGTGAATGTTATGATTTTAGTAACTGTTCCACTTGACACCTCTCAAGCACTTACTTGTATGCCTAATGAGTAGGATTGTTGGTTACTGAGGCTTTTGTCTCACCCCGTGGTTTAACATTTTCAGATAATAGCTCTAGGGCTGGTCCATCAGGGAAGGCAGCGAAGGCTTAGCTATCAAGTTTATCTTGTATAGCCTCCTTTTAGTCATGTGATGAGTATTGTATATTGCCACATATAGCTCTTTTTGCATACTCTGATTTAATCGAGACTTATGGTCTTAGTTACTTTTGCTGCTGGGTTGCTTGGGTCGGTAAGCTGTGAACCCACAATAACTTTTGAAAGTGTTGACTTTTGATTAATGAGCTCTATAGTTTATATTAAACTGATTTATCAGTTCGTATGTTTGAAAATATCAGTTTGGTTTGGGCTAATGGTTGAATGATATTTCTGAACTTTGGAAGTCCAAGACCCAAGGTAACGATCGATGTTACTCTTATTATAAGTTTATTTCTTTTAACCATGATAGCGATTTTAAAATTTTAAGGTTTCTTCTTTTCTATCATGGTTAATCGTTCGAATAAATTGAAAATTTTGATCTAAATGGGTTTTAAAGGAACGGTTGTCACAATTTGGTATCAGAGCCATAAAGTGAAAAGCCCCGAGCCTCTGTCTCCTGAGAGTGTGGCGAAGGGAGGATCTCCGTAGGGGATGCCTGGGTAACCAGGTGGCAAACTGATAGGTACCTTGTGATGCCACGCGGTGGGGACCTAGCACTGGGGACCCTGCAGCCAAGAGGGCTGGGGACCTTGCAGTGGGGACCCTGCACCGTAGTCTCTTCACAATTTGGTATCAGAGCTAAAGATTCTGCGAACTGGGTTGCATTACATTGCATTTAGTGGCAATATATAATAATATCACATAACCTTCCCTGTTACTTTGTGTTTGTGCGTGACTTTACTTCTTGTTTCTTTTTAGTGGGTTCTATTCTTAGGTGGGGAGGATGGTATGGATGTGATCTTGATAAACTAATCAGGGTGGGGATGAATCCACAAACCTGCCTGATTAACCACTGAATCCTCTGCAATTTAACTAAAAGATCTTACTGCAACAGCTAAAAGAAGTGGTAGTTATAGTGATAGATACGAGGGCAAGGAAACTAGAGGAAGACTTAAGAAGTAAGAAAGTTATGAAAGAGTTCGAAGAAAATTGGCTTCCTAAGCTGTTTGTGGGTAATTTTGGAACCCACAGGGTTTCTATTGAAGAAACCAAAGAAGAAAGTAGCTCGTAAGGCTGATAAGAGAAAAAGGAGACTGTGAAGCTTAAAAGTGTGTGAAAGGACATAGAGCGTCATCACGCAAAGACTTTTTATAAAAGTATGGATCTTAATAAAGTTAGTGCATAAGAAGGAGTTTATTACCAAGTACATGGACCTCTCCAAACATGTTACCTACTTGCAGTAAAAAGATAACCCAGAGTGAATGGCCCGGCAATAGATGGAATAGGCAAGGTCAGAGTTGAAGTAACAAATGGCTTTATATAAGTTTAAAAGTTGCAAGGATACCTGCATGAAACTCAAAATAGTAGCTCGCAGGGCTTGAAAGGTAGAGAAGAGCCAGCTCCGGATAGTCAGGGTAGGTTCTCTAGTTTTGTGAGGCTAATGGGAAGAATTAATAAGAAGAACCATACTGGGAAAAATTGGAACCCCTATCATTATTTTTATATCCCAATCTAGTATTAATGAACCCCATCAGAAATATGAAGATGTGCACTTAGAACAATGCTAGGAGTGTTATCAGCGCCACAAGCTAGGGTATATTGTTTGTAATTGCCTAGAGGCTAGGTAGATTCCTCAGAGCAATCATTCTACTATTTCAAGACAGGTTCTTAGGATGACCTAAGAGGAGGTTGGGATATCCCTTGATCCGATTAGAAGTACAGTTCACTTTAAGGACATGATATGTTCATCTTGTTGAGTCGGGTGCTATGTATTCCTTTTTATTTGTTGAGGGTACTAAAAGTTTAATTCATGTATGATTGATTTGTTCTGTTTGCTGCTTAAGGACATCGATGTGATTATGGACATGGATTAGTTATTAGCTAGTGATGTCGTAAGAGATTTGTGACTTCTTCCCTTTGTACTATGTCTATTGAGGTTATTATAGGTTTCACACAATGGTTACCTACTCAAGTGATTAAGTGTAAGTGCATTTAAGGAAAGTCACCAAGGTGTATGGCATTTTTTTTCTCTGTCAGTAGGGATAAAGAGGTTATTATTGAATAGACTGAGGTGAAAGGATTTATTTAATTCAGTGTTACATCACAAGGTTCACTAGTATTGTTAATAAGAAAAGAGGACTACAACATACGATTATATATTGACAGCAACAATTTGAAAAGTGACCAAATAGATATTTTGAATGGATTTCTAGATGTAATTTAGGGCATTGAGGTGAAGTCTTCTATTGAGTTGGAATAGGAAATAGAGCGTATCTCAAAGGTTCTCTCTGTGAAATATTACCATCCAAGTTAGAAACATTGAAAGGAGAGAGAGGGAGAACCTACCAGTTTATCATACTTAGTGTTTCTCCTTGTGGTTCATAGGTGTTGTTGTGAAAAAGAAAGATAATAGTTTGAGGATTGGGTATTGAATACTGTAATATCCTAATTTGTTTAATTATAAGGTATATAGTGGTGTTTTAAATTTTAGATTTGGGTGAAAATTAAGGGTTATTATTCTTGATTAAGGTTAATTGAGGATTAGAGATATTATGAATGATGATTTGAAGTTATATCTTTCAACATTTCGAGCAGTCTTGAAATATGAAAATTTTGATGGACTTAAGTTAGTTACTTGGCTTATATAAAATATCTAGTCAATTTAGTTTTGTTGTGATTTCGGTTTTTGGTGATTTAGAGTTATGGTTTGTTGTTAGAAGAAAAGCTTTATGAAGATTGGTAATATGATATTTTGAAATAAGGTTTAAGGATTGGTTTATGTTCGTTTGACTGAATATTTTGGGATTTGGTATGCTTGAGGTTAATAGTTCTAAATGTAAATTGAGGGTTGTCATGAATGATTAGTATTAAGGTTGACTAATGGAGTTAATGAGCTATTTAAGTAGAGAAAATAATTGTTATATCTTTTAAGTGAGAAGTTGAAATTAGATTGACAGTTAAATAT